AGGTGTAAAGAGAGCAATATGTATATGTGTAATCAAATATTAACGATTTTGTTTATTTTAACAGAGATGAAAAGCTCGCTTCTTTGAAACGTTTTTGAAGATGAAGATAATTTTAACGCAATCTACTTTGATAAGAAACTGTTAATATTACATCTTCACAATATTATGTAAGTCATAATCGGGCGTTGGAATTTTGGACACAAAGAATTACGTAAAAATAATTAATCAACATTTTTTAATTGTACCTTATTAATTAATTTCACGTCGAAACGTTTTCTGATGCTTCATCGCTCTTTCGCGCGATATGACACTAATTTAATTTATTTGTTGGAATGTGATATTATGTGGTATAACAACGATTTAATAGAATTTCAATGATCATAAATTGCACGTTGAAACGCAACAACGCATTTTATCGCCCTCTTTCATATGACACGCTAATAGTTCATTCTGATTCACGATTTACATAGAAAAATGCGAATAATCGCATTTCCAATGAATTAGGGAATAGTTCCATTTTTTGCTAATATGGAAGATGATTGTTAATGAAATTACTCGTCGAACTCGAATAACGACATAAAAAAAAATGCGTTTCAGAATTTACGCGATAACGCGATATTGACGAACATATATATTCTGGATATTTCGACTTTTCGTTTCTATATAACATTGTAAATGGTGTGTAAAAAAGACTTTCCTATGTGAATTTACTGTTCAGGAAAATGTACTGTTTTAGCAAGAGAAGAAATTGTCCCGGAATACAACTCTCGGTAAGACAATCTCTTAGATTAGAAACGGTAGCATTGAAAGTCAAGTAACAATATTGACCTAATTTGATTAATCTTAAACTAGCGTCGACATAAATAATAATATTATTGCGTGCATTAAACGTCTCAAATTCAACAAATTATTTATTACTGTAACGATTTAAATATGTAAATATGACAAGATTAAATATGACAAGATTAAATATGACAAGATTAATAAATATGTAAATATGACAAGATTAATTTCGCAGATATAAAGAACTAAATATCGCAGAAGAGTTGCAGGGAAATAACGAAATAAAAAGCGCCGAGTCAGCAATAAGTAAATTCCTAGCAATCGTAACAATACGCGCAGCAATATAGCATTTCTTATTTGGAAATACTGTATTAGGTATGATCACATATAATTGAGAAAATATCCGTGCGTGGGTGAAGCGTATTTTTATTTTCTGTAGAATTTCTACGATGTCAGAAAACGAGAAACTTCCCGCCTTTCACAGGATCCCGACCTTTCGTATTCGTTCCCGAGTTGCTCGAGTTTCTTGCCTGCGTTACAAGGAAACGCGTCGGCGGAAAATTTCGTCGGAACGATCACAAAATTAGATGTTCGACGTTCGTGATATTTTTCGATGATGAAAGAGACGAGCTTTCGTGCACACATGACGGTGTCGTTCTGAAAATGACAACTTGCGGGCGATCCGGTCATTACCACTGATACAACTACTTTATCGCGAAAGTTTGTTAATAAAAGTTTTACTTTACTTGACATCGATGGGGTGTGGGAGGCGAGGGGGCGAAGATTTAGTGATACAACGGGCGAATTCACACCCTTGCTAAAGAAAAGAGAGACACTAGGAAAAAGTTGAAGATTCTGATTCCGCTGGAGAATAGAAATAAAGATGACTGAGAGGAATATGCTTTTAACAAGATTGCGCTTTGACGCGTCGTTGGCATTTTGAAGAAATTTTAAACGAGAAATATTGAAGCGAGTAATTGAAAACGATGCGATATAATAAAGTTATTTGCGAAATGTCGTTTTACATAGAATCTTCTCAATTTTGAAATATAAAAATTCGATAACTTTTTTTACTTGTGACAGCTAGTTTTGTTATTTCTGTACTGATCGAATCTTGCGAATAGAAAATACACGAAATATGAAAAACTTTAATATATAGTAAGTAGCACGAAAAATATATTAGAGTAATATTTCCGTTATCGAATATTGCTTGGACATGAAAGGAATATCGTACCCTTTTTTACGTATTTCACTCAGCGCATATTAGCAATCGATCTCTTCTCAAGGTTTTACGTACGTAAATGTGGTCGGTATTTTTATACTCGCGTTGTACAATATTAACACACAGTCAGTGAAATAAAACTGTCTGATCTCCGATGTAATCTTGGCGGCGCCAGATCCCGCGCCGACGATGAAAGTAATGGCGGTGTTCGAAAAGAATCGCCAAGAGAGGGTCTCGCAGTCATAAAAAGCGAACCTCCCGGTCGTATCACGATCGACCTTAAAGGCCATTGTCGAATATTGGGACTATCGGGGAACAAATAAATAATCTCGCGCCCGGGGCTCGATAAATTTTGAAACAAACGATAAATATAGCCGTATCCTCTTATATGCGGGGGATCAGCTGAACCATATCGCGTAAGAGGCGAGAAAAAACACAACAACCTCTAAAAAAGAGAAGGTAACGCGCACACGATATTCTTTTCAATATCCAAATTGGAGTATGAAATTTTTATGAGAAGATTGAAAAAAAATGTATTAGAAGAATAAATTGAATATTAAAATTGTTTAGAATAAGAATTCGTATAAAAATAAAATTTTATATTGTTTTATTAATATGTTTTCATTTAGGTACAAATGCTCTTCGAATCATATGTATTAATTGTAAAAAAATATTTTCATTCTTTTAAATATTGCGAGTATTAATATTTAGATAAAAGCACTTTGCTCTCATAATTTTTTATAAAACACAAAATAATTTAATTTAACAGTATCATGGATCGAAATGTAAAAAACATTAGGAGCGAAATGAATAATAACAATGATGTATCTGTGCTGCAAAATTTCGCTTTTTGTAATTTTACATTGCGGGAAAGAGATAAATGGCGAAAAAAGTGTCGAATAAAACAGAATCAAGTTGTGTCAAATATTTAAATAAAGATAAAGAAAATATTCAGTGCGCAATAAAAATCAGCGAACCGTGTGACATTCAATATCTAGTGGAATGTTAAATTTATGACAATAGCGACGACCCCGGATATAATTTTAACTATATTTTAAAAATATGCAGAAACATCTCCAAAATTATTTATTGCAAAAATTAATGTATCAGATTATTTTTATCTTACTATTATTCAAGCAAGTAACGTTAATTAAATTGAAAGTCGCAAAATCATGTGAAATCAAACAAAGTCAAATATTTTTCAGGTATTTATATCTCTCTTTATTGATATAAATAAAAATGTACGAAAAGTGAGGAGAAACAGTGCGGAGAGAGATGATACAGCGAAGAAATTCCAAAGCTACTGTAAAGCCGAGAACATAGAAAGCACAGAGAGGACCGACGCACAAACATTTTCAGTAGCACCGACTGAGAGGAACACCGCGTGCAAAAGCTTTCATCTCATCAGGCTGCTTTCGGAAAAGCGCGGACACGGCGCAAAGAGATTTTCTACAAAGAAGCAAACACATACATATATACACATATGTGTGCGCGTGCAGAGATACACAGACTATGCACGATTAAGTTTATACGCAAGAAGATCAAGGACATAATCCTTGTGTCATGACTACACGTGTCGCGAGTGCAAGCTGTTTTATCTTTTTTTAGATGTTTTAACAGCAAGTTTGTCGCAATGTTAATCTTTTTGTCACAAAGCAAATTTAATTAAAAATTTAATTTGCTTATAATAAACGTTCAGAGCAAATAAATTTAATCGATTATATAGATTTGTCAATGATAGAAATGGAAAAAAGACTAATCTTTTTATCTTTTTTTTTAATGTAATTATTATCAAAAAAATATCGAATTAAATAATCGAAAATGCAGAGACATATGATTTATCACCTCAGTTTGATATATTACGTTAAATATATTTGACAATGACACAGTGCAATATTAATTTTATTATTAATAAATTTTAATATTCAATTTTAATCATGTCTCACGCCATTATATGAAATGGCATATATATACTGTAATATCATGACATTAAAACGTGGATTTTGGTATTTAATTATGCGAATAGTCAGATTACATGGCACGATTAACGTCAAATGGAATAGCTTTTACTGATCGAGAGAGTGAAAATAAACGTGTTGAAGAAAAATTTACAATTCTAAAGTGTGACTTTTGCCACAATCGATTTGCACACGAATAAATGCTTTACAGTGCCATTGATCTCGAGACCGAGTCTCCTATATCTATATATCTGTATACCTTAGAACCTGACGCCTGAGAATCTCGAGATCTTAGAGGCAGGTCTGGACAGATATTAGAATCGTCCGTTCCGTCCGCTCCGTATTTTCGGATCGATGCCAACTGTTGAATATTCGATGCGCCGCGGATATTCGCGAGGATGATGAAACCGATCGTTAAATAACCAGTCGCGTACTCCGGGCACGATCTATCGATTACCTAGAATTTTCTATTCTGATTCGATTCATGCAGATCTCGCTGTGCAACCTGCGCGGCTCGGCTCACGTGATGTAATTACGGACGTTTTAGTGTATAATTCGCATCTGCATGGCTTTACATTTCATTACGTCTAAAAATACTCGATTGGAAATGGTAACGTGACGTGACGTGATTTTCATTCGCATTCCAATCGCGAATATCGAATGAAATCCATATTACCGGTGTGTCGAATGTAATTATATCGTAGAGTCTTTGACAATTAGCATGTGTAATTCATATTTTACTATAAATCTGGCTTTATTTTTTCGTTATAAATTAATATATTATTAATATATTATATATTAATATATTATATATTAATATCGTGTTAAAATCTCAATTTTTTTTTTAATTTAATTTCGACGCTACTGCTATCAAATTTGTATTCAAAAGCGATGCATCGAGTTTGGATAAATTATGTAATAAAAATTCCACGAACGAAATCATTTCACAATCACCTAAAAAAATTAATTTCTTTGCCCTATATATTAATGAGTGATTTGTGGCGATTTCAAAATTTCACACGGAACATTGTACTTACCTTCTTCATAAAAGATTTTAGTGCGTTGTTGCTAAACATCCTGACGGCTTTTCGATCCCGTTTATTCTCAATGGAGGAAACAGGGGATCCCTAAGTCCCAATCGCGTCTCTCGTCACTTCCTGCTGACCGCTGTTGATTGCCGGCATAAAGATCCGTATCTGTTGCTGATTCACAATCGCGGATCTTGGCTCACAACATTCCTGTGACAGAGATGTAGAATCTTGTTTGACGACAGCTGGAGCCATGTGGCTCGCCCTCCTGCCGCGAAATCATCTCCCGTGATTGTTATCGCTCGTTCTCAAAGTGACATGGAAGCCTTCGTGTATTCTGAAAATCAAGTGTCAATCAGTTTAATGACATACGAATGTAATGCCTCGAAATAAAAATGCGCGTCTATAACATTCACACTGTAATACGATATTTTGTTTAAATAAATTCATATGATAAATGATAAATACGAAATATATAAAAATATGGATATGATATGTAACATATAATATATAATATCATATAACATATAATATATAATATATAATATATAATATAATAATTTTTTTCTAAATTATAAGCCTTGATAATATATTTCATAATTATCATCCCATCAAGCATTCTACATTTATTCATAAATATATTTTGTTTGCTCCGAGCGCAATAAATAGATCTTCTATTTTCAAGGAAGAATATCGAGGTTTTCGCAGAGTTCTCGTATCACTTTGTAGTTTGCAAACAATACTCTCGTAGCTTAATGTTAGTTGCTTTGAAAGGAATGTTTGGCCGAACGTAACCTCGTTAGAAAGTTTAGACAAACAAATATTTACCAGCGTAAATTAATATCTGGCTTTGTTTCGTCGCGCACATGATGTTAGTTGCTGAGAGCAAGCGCACGTCACTAGATGATTAATCTCAATTTTCCGAACGAAAATTGAGGAATAAAATTTTGAATATATAAAAAGATCGTTACATTAATAATTTAATTTCTAAAACATACTCTGACTTTATAGTAAAATTATATTATTTTATAATGATGATATATAATCCTCTTTATTCTCAGTCTATTATTAACGAAAGTTAATTTTTATTCAGAGTCGCGCAAGTTCTTCATAAAAGTTGAAACTATTATACTTTGATAAAATAACAGAGAGAAGCTTGCTTGGTCTTCTTTATGTTTTATATTCTATAAAATTCAAACAGTCGCAACAAATCCACACAAAGAACCACATATAAAAAATAATAATTAAAATATTTATATATTTTAACGAAATATTTTCAATTATCGAGAAACATCGTTAAAAAATCTTTAAAAAAAATTCTCTCAAATATAACTGATGGAATTATAATTACGAATATTTAAATTTAAAAACATCACAGCATCCAAAATTAATAATATAGTTGCATGAAACATATTGTTTTTCCAAGTTTAAGATAATTATTAGTGAGCAAAAATACCACAATTCTCTCTCCCTCTCTTATTTGAATAATATCAATAAAAACATAAATAAAAACCTTAATTAGGCAACTCTACTCGACAATATGGACAACTGTGATTTAAGACAGAGGAAAATAAGATGTAATTATGAGACTAATGCGTTTGAAATTGCGCGACTTGAAGTCATTAAAAATGAAATTTTCTATCGGAAATTGCAAAAAGAGAGTATGTATCAAAACGAAACTTGCTAAATTTAATCAACATACTGACACTCTACAATATGTGTACTCCTCATTAGCTGTAATTTCAATCAAGGAAATCATCCACGCGGTAACTAAGGGCCCTTAATTCCCGAGCGTAGTTGATATCACGACGGTATTATAATTATGAATTCAAACTCCATAACGCTGCTGTAGTTGTCGAAACTAATAATAAATTTATACAAATTTACATATGACGTGCTTACACATAATTTCACGTGTACACATTTCTGCCGAATGTAATCAATAATTCTTGACAATAATGAGATATTTATAATTAACACAATCTGTACTTGTGTTTTTGTCTCAGCTACTAATTACGTTAACATCATCATATTAAACACTTGTTAATAATAACTAATATTAAATAACAAATTTAAATTAATACATTTTCATAAACTATAGACTTTTCTCTCTCACATTGTTAATTTATGAAGTTTGCAATGATATCATTATGTGCAATCAGTGAAGATAATCGCTTTCAAGAAATGAAATAATCCTCGATAAAATAAAAACAGCTTGTGACTTAATCACATATTTTTTTATTGTAAGAAATATTTCTCGTTGAAAATTTTTTCAGTGCAAATATAATCTAGATTTTATCAGGTGTCAATTTCGAATCCGAAATATTTTTCAAACGATGGATTCCGCAAAATTCATCATTTTACAAACACTAATTAGTGCTTTTGCGGGCATTTGGCAAGTTTGTCAGCTTCAATTTTTGGTTCCACGAACTGATTCCGCGGCAAGAAGCCCCGATGGTCTCACCGCATGCGCTTTGAAAGCCGCACTCACTCTCTTCCGCGTTCCGCGGATCGGACAATTAACCTGTCGTGCGGTAAGACAAATTTCGGGTGCAACCGGTTTTCATGGCTGCGTGAATCATAGTAATTGCGATGTAAATGGCTTTGTTAACCATTCTGTTCAACGGAATTAACGCTGCCGTGTTTCGCCATCGCACTAAGTACGTCGTTGTGACCGAAATTTGTTATTGCCTCTGGGTTAGAATTTTCGCATAATATTACGTGGTCTCGCTTTACATATATACTCCATAGTACGAGCAACAAACTGACGATATCGGATATAAACCTGCATTAAGAATACAAATGTTGGCCGTAAATTAATTCGGAATATTTTAAATAAAATGTTTTGTTTCTAAAAGTGCCTCTGGGTTAGAATTTTCGCATAATATTACGTGGTCTCGCTTTACGTATATACTCCGTAAAGTATGAGCAACAAACTGACGATATCGGACATAACCCGCATTAAGAATACAAATGTTGGCCGTAAATTAATTCGGAATATTTTAAATAAAATGTTTTGTTTCTAAAAATAAGAGTAGAAAAAAATTCGCGCGAGATACGATGAAGAGGCTCTCGTGGAGATAAAGCGAAAATGCGTTTGAACGATGAGACGATTATAGCAATTTTCGGGGAAGGAAGGTGAAAAATATGAAAGGGATGATGCGAGAGCGGCATGAAAGGGTGATGGAGAATTACGGAAAGAAGTACGGGAAACAGAAGCGCGTACGAAGAGGAAGGAACGGAACAATGGACGGAATGGAATTTCAAGCGCTCCGCGCTCGTACATAATACCCTGGCGTATATTAATTTATCTCATAATGATCCCGCCGTGGTGGATAATATCTCGAACGTAGGCGCCCATCGCTCACGGACGACGAGAAAGGAAGAGGGGGACAGCAGGAAGCAGTCCGGTATTTCCTCATATTAATCGCCAAAGTTAATATTCGCGGGGGATGACACGATCGACAGGTTAGCGAAGCACAGAATTGCAGAGTTGCTCGAAAATCTGACGGATCCACGAGAGTTGGAGGAGATGGGGTTCTCGTATCGGATAACACGTTGCCATTTGGTAGATCGTTACTCTTCTCCCCGGGGGGATTAAATTTTACGAGCTACGTTAATTAGCGAGAGCGTAGGTGGTTCGTTCGTATCGAGAGAAAAGGAGTGACGAGGAGGGAGAAAGAGAGGATGTTAATGATTGGCGTATATCGCGTGCTCACGGCGATAAAAGCGACTCATATTTTCCCATCGATTAATACCGTATCGTTTATGAGTTAACATATTATATATTTTATTTTTGCTTCTCTCGCAGTAAGGTAGAAATTGTTTTCTTTTTATATCGAACATTTTATCGCTATCCTTGATGCTTGATAAATATTAATTTTCCATAAATTCGCTTCCAGTATTCTTACAATAGACATTTAATATTGAAAGAATTTCGTTTCAGAAGGTATCGAGATATTATGAGTGAAAATCGCAAAAACAGAGTCGTATCTAGAGACCATAACACGCAATATCCGCGATGAGTAATCGTCATAGGGCGAAACGTAAGCAAACCACCCCCGCAATTCGTGACGAATAATTCGACTAAAGAAGTCTCCGATAATGGAAAAAGCGAAGACAAAATTATCCAATCAGAGAGATCGATTTATGCACGAAAAGCAAAAAAAAATTTACAATAATTATTGGAAAAAGAACGTGGATTATGTATGTGTAGCTACGTTTATAAATGCAACAATGGACAGGCACGCTTATGGAATCTCAAGGATTTATAATATCGACGACAGTGAGAAAGAAAGCAAATGAAAAGTGAAGAAGAGTGAAGAGAAATTTCTTGCTGATGCGGGCATAGAGAAATCTGTAATAGAAGAATGCTATAAATGTGCAGATAACGCTTGAATACCGAACGATACATCGCAGAGCTTCCATCCTTAAACATCGATCTGTTATGCATACAGTTTTGCGATTCACATGCTAGACATCAAATATGTATTATTGGGATATTAGATACTTTGCTGAAAGTGTGTTCTATTCCAGTTTTAGATACAATGGATAACAAATTTCCATTTCTAAAATTAATTTAACAATTATTTCTAAAATTATATAAATTGTTTTTATACGATATAGTATTTAGAATAATATTTATATGCTATATTTAATACTAATGGATACTATTATTTAATCTGAGAAGTGCGATTTTTGTACAATGTTATTTTTAAAAAATCAGAAATCATATTTCATGTTAAATACAAGATCCTATTTTTTTTAATTTTGAACTGATAACAATAAATATTAATGGAATACTTTCTTTGATAATTTTCTTTAATATATTTCACTTCAGAATTACATTACTCTTTCTCTCTTTTTCTATTTTTTTTTATAAATTTCAACAAACGTATCGTTAATTTTCTCAATACGTACGTTTCGACTTTTTGTCGGCTAAAATACACGCGAACTAAAATCGTATCATCTGCGGTCAAATAAAAAAACTAATATATTGAAAAAAAAGTCGTGAAAGTAGACGTGTTAGCTATTGCAACGCAATGCTACATTGTTTTACGAATACGCAATATGTGAGTGGTTTATATTTCTTTTATGAACAAAATTCCATGGAAAACAGACGAATAATAATGATATGTGGAATAATGGAAAATTATCGTTGCCATATATATTCAACCTTTCCGTAACATCGCAGACAATAATCCTGCTTTCCGTGTTTTTAACTCTTTGAATGATCACGTTGGCATAAGTGCCATGTATGTATAGCAGACGTTAATTAAATCCGTCGCTCAAAGCGGTGCATTATCTGTTTTAAAATTACTTCTCTTGATTTATGAG